TTTTTCGGCTCGTCGAATGTGTTGTGTTCACCCAGCTGTCAGGTCTTCTGTGTTCGAGCTTCCCACGGATGCTGTACTTCGTCAACAATGGATACAATTTATGTTTGATTATGTTCCTGAAAATGACGATCGTAATTTAGCTCTCTGTGCTGCGCATTTACGGAAGACAGCTTCCAGAATCTCCACGAGTTCAATGCTGAAACTTGGCAACAAGAAACTGTTACTAAAACATGAACCAGTTCCAACTTTAAAACCAGAGGCAGCAGTTGTTGGGCCACAACCTGTAAGTAGGCTAAGACTTAATCATTGTATTTGCATGTATAATTCCAGACGTAGCCTCTTTTTTTTATTTTTATTTTCAAATGCCAGCGCTGGCTTTATAGCCACTAGGCTACTAGTTATGCTATTTTGTGTCTACGACAAACGCGTACAAACATTATGGACCTGAATTTTGTATAAGTATAAGAATTTTTGATTTGATCAAGAACGTAAACTAATGCCAATGCTGTTTAGTAGCCAGTCAGATGCTATTGTGTAAAACAAATGTGTATGAAGTTAAAAAATGTAGCAAATTGTCATTCAGAAACGTTTAGTAAGAGCCATGTGTGGTGAGTTTCTGCTTGACTCTCTTCATCGCTAGCCTGACTTTGTCATACTCGTATTCAAGAGAGAATATGAGTCTGAAACCGCTTCATAGGGCTTTGGTTATGAGGCGTGTCATAACCGAACCAGGAAAAAAAAACCTCTGCACTCAATTGGATAGTCGGTAGACCTACAACCAATCAGAGCAACGCAGTAAGTCAACTCCTTTGCATAGCGCAGTTTTCAAATACAGAACGTAGCCTAACTTTATTTATTTTAGAAGTTAAATAACGAGTGTTGCTTCTTTTACTTACTTCTCCATGAGTGCCACCAAAGGAGAAACCACAACGACCACAGGCTTTTCATTACGTCCCATCTTCTTAACGACCGTCAGAGCCAGCTGATAAGTTACACTTTTCCCGAATCATGTAGGAAGGACGCCAAAAATATCTTTAAGATAGACAAATGCCTTGATTGCAGTTCTCTGTTTGTCTATTAAAATGAATGCGCTGCCGATTTATTTTACAAAAGTGGCAGTGGAATCTATACATATCAATTCTCCAGCTGCAGTCGTCTTTGACAAGCGCTCTTTGATAACGTGATGATTACATCCCTGCAGATCATCTGTCCATCATCGTATAAAGCCCCCCCTGGCAATTTGATTGGCCCGTTCATTTTTTGCCTGATCATAATTACTCCTCAATGGATTGAGTCCTGACCAAACTTCCCAACCAAAAAATGTTGTGGGCGGAGTTCGGGCTGGCATCCAGGCTACTTCATCGCGGCTTTCTCTGTCTGATTCTGCCTCAAACTGATGCTGCAGTTCGACTCCATTATTTACATTTGGACCGGAGCTCATTACATGCACGTTTCACCCGTAAAGGTAATGGGCGCTAACCTTCCGGACAACGTGAGCGACAGTTTAGCCAATCACTACACACCGGCCCAAACTAACCAATCTGACCCCACTGCCTGTTTCTGAGGGAGTGGTTTCATAGACTCAGGAAGTCAACCGCTCATTCAGGGCACAGAGGAGGGTGCGGCTGACAATAAAGGTGAAGTTTATGAAAAATAAGATTTTTAAAAAAAGCAAAACCACGAACATGTTATATTGCACCCCATAAACACAATCATGCAAAGAAAAAAAGCAGTGTCCCCCCCCCCCCCCCCCAAACTTCAGACAAGCACCCCCTTGCGAGATAGAAAACACTTCTCTATTATGCCATTCCAGACTCTAGGTGTTTCTCAATGTCAAGGATACTTCCTTGGCAGGACGGGTCCTTCCAAGTCATTTCCTTCAGAGGCTAGGCAAGGGTCCTCTTTAGCATTCGGAGAACACGTAAATGGAACAGGCTAGCAAGTGCACGTCATTGCGTCATTACATCAGTGAAAGGTCCGCTTCGGCGCTGCAAAAATCATAGTGCTGTTTTGTTGACAGTCCTTATTTTGTCTTGTCAGTCCTCATAGAAATAAATAAAGTATAAGGGATAATGTATAACCAGGCGGTTGTTATAGTGAATACAACCCCGCAAACTCTAAAGCAGAGGGGTCTTGATTGAATCAGCCTGAAGGGGTTGTACCTACCAAACGGCTACCTACCAAATAAATCAATAATTTGACACAAAATATTTATTTAAAAAGGAGTTTAGTCATTCAAAAACGATTATATTACCGGAGTGAACAGAACTAGCACTACGTCCATAGCAACATTAAAACACATGCAATGGTAAAATATGTGACCAACAAAAAAGGCTATAACGTTATATGAAGTAAAAATTAAAAAGTTAATCACCAGTAAAAGGGAACAGCTTTAAATCCCCTCAGCAAATTTGAGCCGATATGTTAAATAGTTTAACAAACATTAAATAAATGGCTAAACTGAAATTATACTTGCTTACATTTGAAAGCATATTGCCGTTATCACTCCGACTCCGCTAACGGTCGACATTTTTTTTATTTTTTGAACAAGATAGCAAAGCTGCGCATAGGATTGTGGGTGATTTAAGTGCGCGAAGGCTACACATATGCATCCTTTCCTGTGTATGGGATATTTTCCGAACGAAGGACTTAGTCCTTGGTTGAAATTCTGAGGATCCTCGACATTGGAACAGTCCTTCGACGGACGTCGATGACGTAGCATCCTCGAAATTCCGGCTTCCGAGGATCCTTCCTTGACATTGAGAAACGCCTTCTGTCTACGAAGCAAAGTGAAGTAGCTGAGTCTGGTATTACCAGGCTAGCCTACTCCCCAGTTTACACACTTAGGTCCTCTGATGCCGTTCTTTTAACGATTCCACGGCACAGACTATCATCATTTGGTGGGAGGGCTTGTACTGCTGCCCCAACACATTAGCGACCTCTCATCATTACACACTTCAAAAACCACCTTAAACATAGAAATCAAGGGAAACAAGTGGCGAAAAGATCTGTTTTATGTACCATTATCTCAATTTATTTTTATTGTTTGTCATTTATTTTTGTTTGTCATGTTTATTTGTACTTAACTGTAAAGCGACCTTGAACTCTAAAATGCGCTACATAAAATAAACGTATTATTATTATATTATTCATTCATTCGCTGTTGCACTACGTGAACTCATTCAGAAGAGGATGGATAGTTGAATAAAGCCTCTTTAGTCTCTTTAATAAAGTCTCTAAAGTCTCTTTTTTGTACAAAGTATTCTCGTTGCTTGATGAACTTAAAGGAGCAAAACGCAAGTATCTGAGTTTTTGCAGAACTATGCCCCCTCTGGCGACAAGCGAAACTGTATGCGCACTCACACACACACATATTTGCACGTTTGCACGAGCTGTTAATAACCAAAGGAGCATCAGCCGCACACTGTGCAGCACACATCTTTTGTTAGTCATAATGAGGTAATACAGTTATAAATCTGCAGGTCATTTAAAATATATGAAAGGAAAGGCATTCGAGTACACTTATGTGTGTGTGTGAGGGGAAAACAGGGGTAGTAGAAAACTTCGGTTTTTTTGTTTCCGTCTATGTCCATATTGAACTGTTTTATGTGCTTACTGTATCCACATATGATTGTATAATTATGGAAACACGTTCATGAAAAATATAAATTATTACTTTGTGTAGGACCCGTTTGAGCCCTAGAGCAGACCGGAGATCTCTCCGTTTGTTGAAAGCTTCCCGATGTTGACCCGTCTTATTCCGACGACTGGCAGTTGTATTTTCTTTGTCTTACGTGGAGTTTGCGTTGGGGTTTGGAATGAACTACAAGCCAGTCTCTTTGGGGCTGTTTACACCTGGCCACAATGCGTTTTCTCAGATCGGATAGCTATCTGATTTATCAAAACGATTCCATTACACCTGGTCACATAAATGTGTTTTTGCAAAACGGATATAATCTGATCTTCAATTCCCGCGCTATATAGGCTACAGAATTCATGAAGTGCACGTCATCGAAAGCAACAAGATATGAGCTGCATTTTATTAATCATCGGCTAATTTCAAAATCAGCAAAGACAGCAATAAGAGAGAGCGGAAACAGCGGCTATTTTTAACAAGCTGCCGTCGGCAACATTTTTTTTTTATCATATTCAGTGAAATCGACACTATATTCCGACAGAACATAAATAAAGTGGTTTTAGAAAACCCGATCTTCTAACTCAATCTGGAGTGTGTTATTTGTTTTGCAAAAATCCAGCACTCCCGGACCATCCGGTGCAATCAGCGCCACCCCTCACGCACATTACAATCACATGCACACGCCTGAAGTTCGCGCAGTTAGAAAGAGTGATGGCAGAACACTAACAAACCAAGTAAGCTTATTTAGAGTATAAATTACGTTAGCAATTGCAATATATTGGTAGATTAGCCAGGGCAGCATACCTCCAAGTAATCCATGGTGTTGATGGATGCTGTTGAGACTGTCGCGTTCACCGATAACCTGGTGCGTACACACTCGAACACGAACTCTGTGGGAGGGTATTCGTTGATAGTGGGGGAGGGCCATATGAGTTGTAAACATTCAAAATTTTGCCTAAGTCCACTCAATCTGCCAGACTTGCCAACTGCAGCTTTAAGGTTGAGCCACACTTGCTCTATTTTAACAATGTTTTTGTTTTCTGGGCCGGCAGATTTCCATTACAATAGAAGCCTATGGAGGAGTGATCCAGCTCTCAGATTGATCAAAAATATCTTAATTGTGTTCCGAAGATGAATGAAAGTCTTACGGGGTTGAACAACAAGAGGGAGAGTCATTACTGACAATGTCTTCATTTTTGTGTGAACGGTTCTCAGAGTCCCTATTCTGCCAGTTTCCCTCCATTATTGTAGATTTCTTCTCAGCCATTGTTTTCTTGTTGTTTTCAGATTACTGGATGTGGAAATTCTACCAAGAATAATGGAAATCAAACCCACTGAGGTTTCTTCTGTCTTTTACACATAGACGTCGAAGCAGAAGTGACGTGTGCGCTGAGATGAGTGTCTGAGAATGTGAGCGAGTGAGAACGAGTGCGAGAGACATCACACCACCTTCAGAGAGTAACTCCAGCAGTTGTCGGCAGAAACTCAGCGGCCTGTGACCTTCACCTCTTCATGTGCAGAACTGTCTGACCCCACAAAAATTATTAAAAATGATCTACATTCTGTACACACTTGTGTTTGAAAAGCTAGTGCATCATATTATTACAGACTTGCCAGCTAAAGGACTGTTGTTCATGTGCGTCTGCAGAACACATCTCTGAGGTGTAGCGACTGCAGATTGTTCCCTACTACACAATTCATTTGTCAGAAGATATGACGAAAAGGAGATGCTGCTGGAGTTTATAATGGCGTGACTAGAGTGTGAGTGTGTGAATGAACGGAGGGGAAGCTGTTTCCACATCCCCTCTTACCATTTCAACCAATAATAAATATCTTGTTTGCAAATTCCGTGAGATGCACTTATGTAAACCCAGGAGAGCAACAGGCAGGATGGGCGGCGCTTGGGTGAACTGGCGCTGAGCTTCGTCATGCTTTCTGAAAGTCAATTGCTGCAGTATATATTTTTCCCCCGTCCCCTTTTTTTTTTACTAAATAAAAATAAATGGTTCTCTTATTAGTATGGGTATGCAGAGCTTTCCTCTGTCCTAGGAAGGGAGACTTCGGCCACTCGAGCGGAAGCTCAGGCCGAGCGCTCCGGGTTCGAAAGCTTCAGGAATTACACTTCCACATCCGACTTTATTCTCCATTTGTTTTGCAGGAGAATGAGTGCCAAATCCTTGTGGATTCCAATGGACTTGAGCTTAATGTTAATATGTAGGAGATGCAAAATAAACATGTCAACAATGTCACAAATTCATTTGCATTGTTATGCTTTGGTTGTAATTTTTTTTTTATTTGTTTCCTGCGGCACTTAATTGGAGTCATTCACCGAGCTTTTAAAAAGAGACAATGGACAGAATCAGACATTTGTATGAGGTTATATTTTTCCATTGATATGAAAATAAACTTAAATTAAACCTTTCTGTTTGTACTGATACGTTTCCTTGTAATGTGAGTGTTACAGAATGGGTGGGTCACCCTGATGATGTGTGTGGGTCACCCTGCTGATTATGTGTGTGGATCACCCTGCAGATGATGTGTGTGGGTCACCCTGATGATGTGTGTGTGGGTGAGTAACCCTGCTGATGATGTGCGTGTGGGTCACCCTGCTGATGTGTGTGTGGGTCACCCTGCTGATGTGTGTGTGTGTGTGGGTCACCCTGCTGATGTGTGTGTGTGTGGGTCACCCTGCTGATGTGTGTGTGGGTCACCCTGGTGATGTGTGTGTGGGTCACCATTCTGATGATGTGTGGGTCACCCTGCTGATGTGTTTGTGGGTCACCCTGCTGATGTGTGTGTGTGGGTCACCCTGCTGATGTGCGTGTCTGTGTGTCACCCTGCTGATGTGTGTGTGTGTGTGGGTCACCATTCTGATGATGTGTGGGTCACCCTGGTGATGTGTGTGTGTGGGTCACCATTCTGATGATGTGTGGGTCACCCTGCTGATGTGTGTGTGTGGGTCACCCTGCTGATGTGTGTGGGTCACCCTGCTGCTGATGTGTGTGGGTTGCCCTGATGATGTGTGTGGGTCACCCTGCTGATTGTGTGTGGGTCACCCTGCTGATGGTGTGTGTGTGGGTCACCCTGCTGATGATGTGTGTGGGTCACCCTGCTGATGATGTGTGTGGGTCACCCTGCTGATGATGTGTGTGTGGGTCACCCTGCTGATGATGTGTCTGTGGGTCACCCTGCTGATGATGTGTGTGGGTCACTCTGCTGATGTGTGTGGGTCACTCTGCTGGTGTGTGTGGGTCACCCTGCTGATGTGTGTGTGGGTCACCCTGCTGATGTGTGTGTGTGTGTGTGTGGGTCACCCTGCTGATGTTTGTGTGTGTGTGGGTCACCATTCTGATGATGTGTGGGTCACCCTGCTGATGATGTGTGTGGGTTACCCTGCTGATGTGTGTGGGTCACTCTGATGATGTGTGGGTGTGAGTAACCCTGCTAATGATGTGCGTGTGGGTCACCCTGCTGATGTGTGTGTGTGTGGGTCACCCTGCTGATGTGTGTGTGTGTCACCCTGCTGATGTGTGTGTGTGTCACCCTGCTGATGTGTGTGTGTGTCACCCTGCTGATGTGTGTGTGTGTCACCCTGCTGATGTGTGTGTGTGTCACCCTGCTGATGTGTGTGTGTGTCACCCTGCTGATGTGTGTGTGTGTCACCCTGCTGATGTGTGTGTGTGGGTCACCCTGCTGATGTGTGTGTGTGGGTCACCCTGCTGATGTGTGTGTGTGGGTCACCCTGCTGATGTGTGTGTGTGGGTCACCCTGCTGATGTGTGTGTGTGTGTGTGGGGGTCACCATTCTGATGATGTGTGGGTCACCCTGCTGATGATGTGTGTGGGTCACCCTGCTGATGATGTGTGTGGGTTACCCTGCTGATGTGTGTGGGTCACTCTGATGATGTGTGTGTGGGGCACCCTGCTGATGATGTGTGTGGGTCACCCTGCTGATGATGTGTGTGGGTCACCCTGCTGATGATGTGTGTGTGGGTCACCCTGCTGATGATGTGTGTGGGTCACCCTGTGGGTCACCAAGATGGCGCCGTTGTGTTTGTGTTTGGCTCGCCGTCCTTTTCTGTTGTGTTTTCTGGTGATCATTGTGCTAATCTCTGTTTTCATCCGCAATGTGTCATCGATATTCGTGTACGATCGTCTGTCGCTGCTACAGATACGCAGTAACGTGACCACCAACTTGCCTGAATTTACCGGAGATTCAAATCTACCGCCATTCCTAGCCTCAGTGCCTGTCTATCTGTGGCGTCCTACTTGCCCGTCAACTTGCAACAAGAGACGCAGGAGACGAGGGAAGAGAGGTGGTGTTCGTGTAAAAATAAAAAAATACCTGGCATCTTGCTCCGTCGGCATGGGTGTCTCTGGCGGCTTCAAGAACATATCCGGGAGTTATGGAGGGTTTGATCTACATCGCCTTCTACAGTACAGCTACCGATGGCTCTCACCGGCTCTCCCAAACACCTGGTGTCCGCCTCCTCATTGTCGCCGGCCTGCGCGGATCCATCGGCAGCGCAACGCGAAAGAGAATCTTCCTCTGAACTGTGCAGCTCACCGCCAGACTGGAAACAACAGATCGGTGCGTGCAGCTCTGTTGAACGCTCGCTCGATCGCAAATAAGACGTTCGTTCTGAATGACTTTATCTCCACTCGTGAATTGGATGTCTTTTTTCTGACGGAGACCTGGATCAAACCAGGTGATAACAGCGCTTTTTCTGAGCTCCTCCCCCCTGACTATTCGTTCTTAAATACACCGAGACCGACAAGCCGTGGAGGGGGGCTTGCAACAGTGTACAATAAGAAGGACATAAACTGTCGCTCCATCGCATGTAAGAACTACAGTAGCTTTGAACTGCAGTTATTCCTGATGCAATTTACACCCCCTATACTGTGTGCTGTCTTATATCGTCCTCCTAAATATAATAAGGATTTTATTGCTGAATTTACTGATTTTCTTGCTGATGTAATGCCAAAATATGATAATTTCCTTATTTGTGGGGATTTAAATATTCATGTCTGTTGTCCATCCAGTCAATTAGTTAAAGATTTTCAAAACCTGCTAACCTCTTTTGATTTAATTCAGTCAGTAAATGTTCCCACACACAAACATGGCCACACGTTAGACCTCATAATTTCACATGGTGTTCCAATATTAAACATAGAAATTCTGGATACTTGCATTTCAGACCATTTTTCCATTATATTTGACTTCACGCCCCCCTCAACCCCTGCAAAATATCTTACCCCAATCTGTAGTCGCCGTATTATCACTTCTACTACAGCTGATGAATTTGCTACTGCCTTCAAAAATTCGGATTTTCATACCCTTTGCGAAAGTCAACCGCCCAGCACTGAGGAGTTCATCTCTTCTTTCTATTCCACCTGTTCAGAGATTTTGGACTCAGTTGCACCCTTAAAGCTGAGGTCTACCAAACCCAAACCAGACTGCTGGTTAAATGACACCACACGCGCCCTGAGAAGGCGCTGTAGACAGGCTGAAAGGAGGTGGAAAAAGGACAAGCTGCAGGTATCCCTGGGTATTTTGAGAGTCTGTCTTTCTGATTATCAAATTGCTGTTAAAGAAGCCAAATGTAAATACCTCTCAAATGTTATTTCAAATAGCTTCAATCGGCCCCAAGTTTTGTTTAATACAATCCAGTCTGTTACTAATCCATCTGTTAACGTGTTTGAAAATGTATCTAAATCAACCTGTGAGGAGTTTCTCCAGTACTTTATTGATAAAGTGGCCTCAGTTAGACAGAGTGTAAACAGCAGTATAGTTGTTGGTTCATATGCCTACCTATCACTGCCTTCACCTCCTGCTGTTTTTGATGTGTTTGAGCCAGTGTCACTCTCTCAGCTCTTAAATGTTGTCCAGAAGCTGAGAGCTACCAACTGTTCCCTGGACATTATTCCATCTAAAATGCTTAAACAGGTTTTTGATACAGTTGGACCATGTCTTCTCTCATTTTTCAATGCCAGCCTTAGCTTAGGGTCTGTCCCAACTGTTTTTAAGCAGGCTGTGGTCAGGCCATTAATCAAAAAACCTAATCTTGATCCATCAGTTCTTTCAAATTTCAGACCTGTGTCCCATCTGCCTTTTCTCTCGAAAGTTCTGGAAAAGCTCGTCTTCATACAACTTCAATCGTTCTTGGATCAAAACCATATTTTTGAACAATTTCAATCTGGTTTCAGGGCACGTCACAGCACAGAATCTGCGCTGTTGAAGGTGCAGAATGACATCTTGTTATCCTTGGACGCTAAAAAACCTGTGCTGTTGATAATGCTGGACCTTACCGCTGCATTTGATACGGTGGACCATTCTATCCTCCTGACCCGTCTGGCCCAGCAGGTGGGTCTTCAAGGACTCGTGCTGCAGTGGTTCAAGTCATATCTTGCCGATAGAACTTACTCTGTGATGATCAATGATCTCTCGTCTTCTCTAGCACCATTTTCCTCTGGTGTGCCACAGGGTTCTATCCTTGGCCCGGTGTTATTTTCCTTGTACATGCTCCCCTAAGGTTCTGTGATATCCCGGCATGATGTCTCTTTCCATCTATATGCAGACGACGTACAAATCTATCTGCCAGTTGCCCAGAACTCCCCAGACATACAGTCCATTCAGACATGTCTGGATGATGTTAAACATTGGCTATCACAAAATTTGCTCTGTCTAAATGATTCAAAGACTGAATTTATCTTATTCGATGCCTCTAGCCCAACAAAGGCAGCTCCTGATCTGGCACCCCTGACCACCCACCTCAGCTTTGTAGTCAGGAATCTTGGGGTGTTTTTGGACAGTAGTCTGAAGCTCGATAAACAGATAGACTCTGTGATCAGGACAAGCTTCTTCCAGCTCCGGCGACTGGCCAAAGTTAAACCATTCCTTAGCCGCAGTGACCTCGAGAAAACAATCCACGCTTTTATTAGTTCACGCTTGGATTACTGCAATGCCCTCTATATCGGGTTAAACCAGGCCTCACTGCACCGTTTACAGCTTGTCCAGAACGCCGCGGCAAGGTTTCTTACCAACACCCGTAAATATGACCACATCACTCCTGTCCTGCTCTCTCTCCACTGGCTTCCAGTCCAGTTCAGAATTCAGTTTAAGATCCTACTCTTTGTTTTTTGCTCTATCCATGGCCTTGCACCTGCTTATCTGTGTAATATGCTGACCCTTTATAAGCCCAGCCGAGCCCTGCGCTCCGCTGAACAACATCTGCTGGTGGTCCGAGGATCCAGGTGCAAAAAGTGGGGTGAACGTGCATTTGCAGTAGCGGGGCCGAAACTATGGAATGCGCTGCCTCTGGAACTACGCGCCATCATGGAGCTGCCCTTGTTCAAGGCCAGGTTGAAGCACCATCTTTTTAGATCAGCTTTTGACACTGGACTGACAGCTGATTAGCAAAA